AGATCCGGCCACTGCACTCCCGCCTGGGCTACAAAGGCGAGCCCCCGCCCCAAAAAAAAAAAAAAAAAAAAAGCAAAGCAAGAAACTGCATGACGGGGAAATGGGGTCTTAAGGGTGGGCTGAACGAGAGAAATAAAGATAATGACAAATGGAACTGGCAATTGCTTTGTGAGAAACAGTTTATTTCCTAAGACAAGGGCTTCTTGGCTCACAAATCCAGAGGAAATTAACAAGAGTAATGGACCTTCTGCCTAGAAACACACTCTTTAGTATAACATTTCTGGGGCTTTCTAAAACCTTCTGTTATCTCCTGGCTGAACAGCCTAGCGGATAAACAGAGGAAATGAGAAGTCAGGAGATATGATCACCACTGGAAGATCTGAGGGGAGAGGCCCGTGGGCTGCTGGGGCCAATGATATTCCTTTTCCAGTTCTGGTGCCGGTGTCTTGGGCGTGCCGTTTGCAAGAAAGTCATGGATGGAGCTTAACACTTTTGTGCACCATTTGTGCACTATACACACACACACACATTTTTTTTTTTTTTTTTTTTTGAGATGGAGTCTCGCTCTGTCCCCCAGGCTGGAGTGCAGTGGCGCCATCTCGGCTCACTGCAAGCTCCATCTCCCGGGTTCACGCCATTCTCCTGCCTCAGCCTCCCGAGTAGCTGGTGCTACAGGCGCCCGCCACCACACCCGGCTAATTTCTTTTGTACTTTTAGTAGAGACGGGGTTTCACCGTGTTAGCCAGGATGGTCTCGATCTCCTGACCTTGTGATCCACCCGCCTTGGCCTCCCAAAGTGCTGGGATTACAGGCGTGAGCCACCGCGCCTGGCTTTTTTTTTTTTTTTTTTTTTTTTTTTTTTTTTGTGAGACGGAGTCTCACTCTGTCACTCAGGCTGGAGTGCAGTAGCGTGTTCTCAGCTCGCTGCAACCTCCGGCTGGGGTCAAGCGATTCTCCTGCCTCAGCCTCTGGAGTAGCTGTCACCATGCCTGTCACCATGCCTGGCTAATTTTTTTGTATTTTTAGCAGAAGTGGGATTTCACCATCTTGGCCAGGCTGGTCTTGAATTTCTGACCTCAGGTGATCCACCCGCCTCAGCCTCCCAAAGTGCTGGGATTACAGGCATGATCCACTGTGCCCAGCCAAAATATATTCATTTTATACCTCAAGAAAAAAGAACTGTTAAAAAAAAATTAAGATCAAACATATTGGAAAAAGATTTGGTAGGAGATGCTCCAAACTGTCGACAATGGTATCCCTACCGAGTGGGATTATGGCACCCTGCAAGGACACCAAACACTGCTGTATTGTTTGAATTTTGAGTATTTTTTTTTTAGATGGAGTTTCTCTCTTGTTGCCCAGGCTGGAGTGCAATGGTGTGATCTCAGCTCACCACAAGCTCCGCCTTCCAGGTTCAAGTGATTCTCCTGCCTCCTCCCGAGTACCTGGGATTACAGGCATGTGCCACCATGCCTGGCTAATTTTGTATTTTTAGTAGAGACAGGGTTTCACCATGTTGGGCAGGCTGGTCTCCAACTCCTGACCTCAGGTGATCCACCCGCCTTGGCCTCCCAAAGTGCTGGGATTACAGGTGTGAATCACCGCGCTCAGCCTGAATTTTGACTTTTTTATTGAGATGGAGTTTCCCTGTTGCCCAGGCTGGAGTGCAGTGGCACAGTCTCGGCTCACTGCAACCTATGCCTCCCAGGTCCAAGCGATTCTTGTGCCTGAGCCTCCTGAGTAGCTGGGATTACAGGCGTGTGCAACCGCACCTGGCTAATTTTTGTATTTTTAGTAGACGTGGGGTTTCACCATGTTGGTCAGGCTTGTCTCAAACTTCTGACCTCAGGTGATGCCCACCTTGACCTCCCAACGTGCTGGGATTACAGGGGTGAGCCACCGTGCCCGGCTGGATTTTGACTTTTATAATAAATTGCTAGGCCGGGCGCGGTGGCTCAAGCCTGTAATCCCAGCACTTTGGGAGGCCGAGACGGGCGGATCACGAGGTCAGGAGATCGAGACCATCCTGGCGAACAAGGTGAAACCCCGTCTCTACTAAAAATACAAAAAACTAGCCGGGCGAGGTGGCGGGCGCCTGTAGTCCCAGCTACTCCGGAGGCTGAGGCAGGAGAATGGCGTAAACCCGGGAGGCGGAGCTTGCAGTGAGCTGAGATCCGGCCACTGCACTCCAGCCTGGGCGACAGAGCCAGACTCCGTCTCAAAAAAAAAAAAATAAAAAAATAAAAAAAAATTAAATTGCTGTAAATTATTTGGCATTAGAACACAAAAGTCACTTAAGAGCCATTTTTTAGGCCAGGCATAGTAGCTCATGCCTGCAATCCCAGGACATCGGGAGGCTGAAGGGGGCAGATTGCTTGAGCCCAGGAGTTTGAGGCCAGCCTGGGCGCGATAGAGAGACCTCGTCTATACAAAAAATTAAAAAAATTAGCCAGGCATGATGGCACGCACTTGTAGTCCCAGCCACTCTGGAGGCTGAGGTGGGAAGATTGCTTGAGTCCCGGAGGTCCCGGAGGTTGAGGCTGCAGTGAGCTATGATCACACCACTGCACTCTACCCTGGTAGGCAACAGAGTGAGAGCCTGTCTCAAAAAAAAAAAAAGAAAGAAAGAAAAGAAAGAAGAAGATTTTTTTTTTTCTGAGGTGTTCACAATAGGTGTTCAACAAAATTTTGTACACTGGTAATATTCAGTATCTGCAAGTCAGTACAGTAGCCACCAAACACGTAAAGCTGTTGAGAACTAATTATAATTCATTGACTTTATTTATTTTTGAGTTGGAGCCTCACTCTGTCGCCATGCTGGGGTACAGTGCTGTAATCTTGGCTCACTGCAACCTCCATCTTCCAAGTTTCAGTGATTCTTATGCCTCAACTTCCCCAGTAGCTGGGATTACAGGTGTGCACCACCATGCCCAGCTAATTTTTTTGTATTTTTAGTAGAGATGTAGTTTTACCATGTTGGCCAGGCTGGTCTTAAACACAAATGATCCACCTGCCTCAGCCTCTCAAAGTGTTGGGATTATAGGCGTGAGCCACCATGCCCGGCATAATTCATTTACTTACAAAAAATTTTTTTTAGAGACAAAATCTCACTCTGTCACCAAGGCTGGAGTACAATGGGGCAATCACAGCTCACTGCAGCCTCAAACTCCTGGCCTCGAGTGATCCTCCCACCTGCCTCAGCCTCCTGAGTAGCTGGGACTACAGGCATAAGCCTGGTAATTATTATTTATTTATTTATTTATTTATTTATTTATTTATAGATGGAGTCTTGCTCTGTCGCCCAGGCTGGAGTGCAGTGGCGCAATCTCAGCTCACTGCAACCCCCTGCCTCCTCGATTCAAGTGATTCTCTGGCCTCAGCCTCCTGAGTAGCTGGGACTACAGATGCCCGCCACCATGCCCAGCTAAGTTTTTTGTATTTTTAGTAGAGACAGGGTTTCACGATGTTGCCCAGGCTAGTCTTGAACTCCTGACCTCAGGTGATCCGCCTGCCTCAGCCTCTCAAAGTGCTGGGATTACAGGCATGAGCCACCACGCCCAGTCTCGTTTAACTTTAAATGAAAATAGCCACATAGGCCGGGCGCGGTGGCTCAAGCCTGTAATCCCAGCACTTTGGGAGGCCGAGACGGGTGGATCACGAGGTCAGGAGATCGAGACCATCCTGGCTAACACGGTGAAACCCCATCTCTACTAAAAAATACAAAAAAAAAAAACTAGCTGGGCGTAGTGGCGGGCGCCTGTAGTCCCAGCTACTCAGGAGGCTGAGGCAGGAGAATGGCGTAAACCTGGGAGGCGGAGATTGCAGTGAGCTGAGATCTGGCCACTGCACTCCACCCTGGGCGACACAGCAAGACTCCGTCTCAAAAAAAAAAAAAAAAAAAGAAAATAGCCACATATAGCTAGTGGCTACACTATTGTTGGGTGCTGGTCTAGGACAGAGCATGAAAGTGTTTACTGTGATATTCTTCAACTGTTCTGTAGCTTTGAACACTTTCCAAAATAAGTCCATTTTGAAAAAGAGATTTGCGGCAGCTCATGTGTATAATCCCAGCACTTTGGGAGGCCGAGGCGGGAGGGTAGCAGGAGACCGGAAGTTCGAGACTGGCTTGGGCAACATAGCAAAACCCCATTTCTACAAAAAATTTATAAATTAGGCCGGGCGCGGTGGCTCACGCCTGTAATCCCAGCACTTTGGGAGGCCGAGGTGGGCAGATCACTTGAGGTCAGGAGTTCAAGACCGGCCTGGCCAACATGGTGAAAACCCATCTCTACTAAAAATACAAAAATTAGCTGGGTGTGGTGGTGGGTGCTTCTAATCCAAGCTACCCAGGAGGCTGAGGCAGGAGAATTGCTTTAGTCCACGAAGCGCACGAGGCGGAGGTTTCAGTGAGCCAAGATCGCACCACTGCACTCCAGCCTGGGCGACAGAGGGAGACTCCGTCTCAACAACAAGAAGTCAGGGGTGGTGGCGCAAGCCTGTGGTCCCAGCTAGTCAGAAGGTTGAGGTGGGAGGATCGCTTGAGTGCTGGAAGTAGAGACTGCAGTGAGCTAGGATTTGTACTACTGTACTCCAACCTGGGAGACAGAGTGAGACTCTCTCTCCAAAAACAACAAAAAGCGGTGGCTCACGCCTGTAATCCCAGCACTTTGGGAGGCTGAGGCGGGTGGATCACCTGAGGTCAGGAGTTCGAGACTAGCCTGACCAACACGGTGAAACCCCGTCTCTACCCAAAATACAAAAATTAGCCGGGTGTGGTGGCGGGCGCCTGTAGTCCCAGCTACTCGGAAGAATCGAGGCAGGAGAATCGCTTGAATCCAGGAGGCAGAGGTTGCATTGAGCCAAGATCGCGCCACTGCACTCCAGGCTGAGTGACAAGAAGCAAAATTCTGTCTCAAAAAAAGAAAAAAAAAAAAAAAAGGAAAGATATCTATCTTAAAGCTTAAAAGGGAGCACAGTGAAAAAAGAAAAGACACAGAATCATCAACATTATTGGTAGCTTTATTAAATTTGTTTACTTTCTAAAAAAAACGATTACAAAAAAGAATACTTCAATTAAGTGTAATACTGGCTTTATGGACGTACCGTGATCAGAAAGTGAAATTAAAGCTCATGGATACGCGTGAGAAGAGAATGGGCACAGAGGCACGAGCCCGGTATCCCACGGAGAGAAGGAAGCGTAGAGAGACGCGTGGACCCACCTCAGGGGCCTCGCATTCCTGAGCCAAGGAGTTGCTTCTAAGAGTTTAAAATAAATGCACTGGCTGGCTCCAGGGCTGGACACACAGGCACAGAACTCTTGTACCGCTTCTCAAAGCTGCCCCAAACTGCGGCCTTTCCCCTCAGACACCAGCAACTCATTGTTTCCAATCAGCTTTGGTTTTGTTTTCTCTGCAATTTACATGAAAATACCATGCATCCATCCATCCATCCATCTATCCATCCATCCTTCCTTTCTTCCTTCCTGCTTATCTCCTTTGACCAGCCAAGCCCTATTTTGTTTTACGTACATTCCCTTCACTAAAAATCAAAGCAAGCCAATCTACATCAAGCCAAGAAACCTACTTTTCTAAGGAGAGAAACCAGTGCTTTGCCTTCTTTAATGAACCTGCGAGCTCTCGGCGCTTTCTCTTGCTGAAATGTGGCTTTTAAAGCCTTGGAGGCTGAGCTCACTGGCCTCGAAAGGGCAGCGCACATATTTGGTTTGGAGCACACTCCTGATCACAAGGCACATTTTTAGAGGCTTGGAACCCTTCCCTTTCTGTTGCTCACCAAGGAAAAGGCACAAGAAAGAAAATGATGTGGAGATTCTTGGGGGACCAAAACAGGCCACGAAGGAAACTGTGAGCGTCTCTGGCAAGCTCTGTTTCCCGCAGGCTCTGTTCCAGGCAGCTCCGGAAAGCCTCTAGGTTGTTAAAAAGGCCAGCTGGCCCATGTTTGGTTTTCAGCAAAGCCCTGTCTCTAAGTTTGCGCCGGGAGGCCTGGGAACGGCCAACTTTTAATCGTGCACACATGGGGTTCTTGGGAGCTGGCCCTGCGTTTTGCCAACAAGTACATGCCCTGTTTTCTTTCCTTTGAGGAGAGAAATTCTGGAGTCCCAGGGAGGAACAGGACGGCCCTGTGACCGTACTCCGGGGCCTGGCGGGGGGACACAGAAGTCACCCTGAGAGCCAGATTCTTTTCCTGCGTCTCCAGGTCTGTAGGATTTTCTAGGAAAATTAACATTTGCCAAGGCCTCCATGTGGGGAAGGGAGGGGTTTCTGGGTAATGTTTTTTTTTTTTTTTTTTCTGGAGACAGGGTCTCGCTGTGTCACCTAGGCTGAAGTGCAATGGCGTGATCATAGCTCACTGCAGCCTCGACCTCCAGGGCTCAGCCTCCCAAGTAGCTGGGACTACAGGCACACACCACCACGCCTGGCTAATTTTTACATTTCTTGTAGAGATGGGTCTTGCTATGTTGCCCAGGCTGGTCTTGAATATCTAGGCTCAAGCTCTTGCCTTGCCCTCCCACAGTGCTGGGAGTACAGATGTGAGTCATCACGCCTGGCTGGTAATTTCTCATTGTGAATTGGTTCCCTGTAAGTCACAGAACTTGTCCTGAGTCCCTTCATTTGAATGAGGGTGAAAAGACTGAGTTTTCTGTCCTGGGTGACAAGGACAGGATCTGTCTCGTGAAACAACCAAAAGAAAATTCCCCTAACAAAGCCGTCTAGAGGGGGGCAGTGGGCATAACACTATTCTATACCAGACAATTAAATGTGAGGGATGAAGGGTGAACCCCAAACTGGTGCGTAATAACAATGAGGATTAAAATGAAAATATGCAAGTTCCAGTGACTTTCAAATCTGGCAACAAATCCTAAGATTCCCGCCCCCTCCTGCAACACGGATTCAAAAACACAATATTTTTTTCCTCTCCCTCTTCCTCCATCCATAATTACCAGCTGATTGTTCTCAATGTTCTTCATAAAACCCACACCCCAGCATCAGCCCTGGCGCCAATGTATACAAGAATTTTGCTTCGGTCTGCGCTGCGGCCGCTTTGATCCAGGGAGCCAAGAAAACTCGCTTGGAGCTGGAGTCCTGTGGCCGTCGGGGCTCCCCCAGGGAAGCGGAGGGAAAGCTCGCTTGCCTTTCAGCCGTGGGCCTTGGGGAGTGTGAGTGGGGTGGGCCAGGGAGGAAGGGGAACAGGGAGGAGACGGGGACAAGGGACGGTTTGCTCCGGGGCTGGTGGCCCCCGCCTCCTTCACAGCTACTCTTCTGCAGAGGATGATGTAGGGCTCTCGTCATCTGACATTGGGGCAAACTGAAACGAGAAGCAGAATTCTTTTTGTTCGGGATCCTTTCCAATCCCCCGAGGCGCCGACGTGGTGGCTGGCCTGGTAGATAGGGTGGGTGAGCAAGAGGGAGGCATGGTCCCTGGCCCCAAGGAGGTGGCAATCTAGGGGCACCGCCTTGAAGAAACAAACTCATGACTGTGGTCGAGGATGTTCACCGGGGGTGAGGGATGCAAAGGAATGAGGGTGGACAGTGGCTGCTCAGGGAGGGTGAGGTCTCAGCTGACTGTGAATGGCATCAAGGGACCAGCAAGCAGGGAAGGGCATTCCAGGCAGCGGAAACAGCACGTGCAAAGGCCCTGGGGTAAGTGCAGAGGGGTTGTGGCAATAAGGCCAGTGTGGCTGGAGGGGGGAGAGAAACAGTCGTGGGGAAAGTGAGACTGGTTGTGCAGGGCCTGGTGGCCTTTGGAGAGGACTTTAGCTTTTTTTTTTCTTTTTTGAGACAGTTTTACTCTTGTTGCCTAGGCTGGAGTGCAATGGTGTGATCTTGGCTCACTGCAACCTCCACCTCCTAGGTTCAGGTGATTCTCCTGCCTCAGCCTCCTTAGTAGCTGGGATAGCTGGGATTATAGGCATGCGCCACCACGCCCGGCTAATTTTGTATTTTTAGTAGAGACAGGGTTTCTCCATGTTGGTCAGGCTGGTCTCGAACTCCTGACCTCAGGTGATCCGCCCACCTCGGCCTCCCAAAGTGTTGGGATTACAGGCGTGAGACACCGTGCCTGGCCTAGATTTTTTTTGATTAAAGACAGGGTCTTGCTCTGTCACCAGGCTGGAGTGTAGTGGTCCAATCATAGCTCACAGCAGCCTCGACCACCTGGGCTCAAGCAATCCTCCCGCCTTAGCCTCCCAAGTAGCTGCGACTATAGGCATGCACCACCATGTCCAGCTAATTTTTTTTTTTTTTTTTTTTGAGACGGAGTCTCGCTCTGTCACCCAGGCTGGAGCGCAGTGGCATGATCTCAGCTCACTGTAACCTGCGCCTCCCAGGTTCAAGCAATTCTCATGCCTCAGCCTCCTGAGTGGCTGGGATTACAGGCACCCACCACCATGCCCAGCTAATTTTTGTATTTTTAGTAGAGATAGGGTTTCACCATGTTGGCCAGGCTGGTCTGGAACTCCTGACCTCAGGTGATCCGCCCGCCATGGCCTCCCAAAGTGCTGGGATTACAGGCATGAGCCACTGAGTCTGGCCTGAATGCTCCTTAAACACATCAGGCACACCCCTGCCTCAGGGCCTTTGCACTGCCTGTTCCTGCTACCTGGAAGACCATATGATTCACTCCCTAACTTCTCCAAGTGTTGACTCAACTGTCATCTCTTCTCTGAGGGCCTCCAATAGCTTTCCCATTACTTGCCATCCCACGTCCGTTGGGTTTTTTTTTGTTTTGAGACAGAGTTTTGCTCTTGTCACCCAATGGCATGATCTCCAGCTCACTGCACCCTCCGCCTCCCAGGTTCAAGTGATTCTCCCACCTCAGCCTCCAGAATAGCTGGGATTAAAGGCATGTGCCACCACACCCAGCTAATATTTTGTACTTTTTTAGTAGAGATGGAGTTTCACCATGTTGGCCAGGCTGGTCTTGAACCCCTTACCTCAAATGATCCACCCGCCTTGGCCTCCCAAAGTGCTGGGATTACAGGCATGAGCCACCATGCCCGGCCTCTTTTTTTTTTTTTCCAGACAAGGTGGCACTCTGTCACCATATAGTGATGCAACCACGGCTCACTGCAGCCTTCACCTCCTGGGTTCAAGTGATCCTCCTGCCTCAGCCTCCCGAGTAGCTGGGAGTACAGGCATGCACCAACACACCCACTCATTTTTGTATTATTATTATTATTTTTTGAGATGGAGTCTCGCTCTGTCGCCCAGGCTGGAGTGCATTGGCGCCATCTCGGCTCACTGCAAGCTCCACCTCCCAGGTTCACGCCATTCTCCTGCCTCAGCCTCCCGAGTAGCTGGGACTACAGGCACCCGCCACCACGCCCAGCTAACTTTTTTTTTGTATTTTTTAGTAGAGACTGGGTTTCACCGTGTTAGCCAGGATGGTCTCAATCTCCTGACCTTGTGATCCGCCCGCCTCAGCCTCCCAGAGTGCTGGGATTACAGGCATGAGCCACCGCACCCGGCCTCATTTTTGTATTTTTGCGGAGACAGGGTCTCCCTATGTTGCCCAGGCTGGTCTCAAACTCCTGGGGTCAAGCAGTCCTCCCGCCTCAGCCCCCCAAAATGCTGGGATTATAGACGTGAGCCACCACACCCAGCCTGATTGTATCTCTTACCAGAATGCCCACTCCACAAGGGTGGATACTGTTTTCTGTTTTGATCAGTGCTGTGACCACTGGGGACTACCCAGAACTGGGCCTAACACACAGCAGGCACTCAATAAATATTTTTCAAATGAGTGAATGATGACTAAGCTACGCATTTGGAACCAGACAGACCCAGGCGTGGATACTGCTATGCCAACCATGGCCATGAAGCCTCTCTGTGACTAATTTCCTCACTGGGGCACTATGAAGATTCAGCAAGCAGCTGACCGTATCCTGACTTTATCCTTAGCATGGACCCCGTGCACAATCAGCTCTTCATAAACATCCGTCTCTTCTGGCCAGGCGCAGAGGCTGACCCCTGTAATCCCAGCGCTTTCGGAGGCCGAGGAGGAAGCATGGCTTGAGCCCAGGATTTCAAGACCAGCCTGGGCAACAGTGTGAGACCCAGCCTTCACAAAGAATAGAAAAAAAATGGCCGGGTGCGGTGGCTCACGCCTGTAATCCCAGCACTTTGGGAGGCAGAGGTGGGCAGATCACTTGAGCTCAGGAGTTCAAGACCAGCCTGGCCAACACAGTGAAATCCCATCTCTACTAAAAACACAAAAATTAGCTGGGCATGGTGGTGTGTACCTGTAATCCCAGCTACTCTGGAGGCTGAGGCAGGAGAGTTGCTTGAACCTGGGAGATACAGGTTGCAGTGAGCCAAGATTGTGCCACTGTACTCCAGCCTGGGTGATAGAGCAAGACTTTGTTTCAAAAAACAAAACAAAACAAAAAAAAACCAACAACACAAAACAACTCAGCCAGGTGTGGTGGCAAGCACCTGTAGTCCCAGCTACTCAGGAGGCTGAGGTGAAAGGATCACTTGAGCCCAGGAAGTGGAGGCTGCAATAAACTAAAATTGTGCCACTGCACTCCAGCCTGGGTGACAGAGTAAGACTCAGTCTTGAAACAAAAACAAGGCTGGGCGCGGTGGCTCATGCCTGTAAGCCTAGCACTTTGGGAGGCCGAGGTGGGCAGATCACGAGGTCAGGAGTTCGAGACCAGCGTGATCAACATGGTGGAACCCCATCTCTACTAAAAATACAAAAAATTAGCCAGCATGGTGGTGCACGCCTGTAATCCCAGCTACTCAGGAGGCTGAGGCAGCAGAATCGCTTGAAGCCAGGAGGCGGAGGTTGCAGTGAGCCCAGATGGTGCCACTGCACTCCAGCCTGGGCGAGAGTGAGACTCTGTCTCAAAAACAAAAACAAAAACAAATATCTCTCCTCTCAGAGCCCCACCCACCCCGCGCCTCCCCGGCCGGGTTGAGACTCACCGAGCATTTGATGTTCATGCGGGAATACAGCATGGATGCAATCTCACTCTGCCCTGCGTCCAGGGCCACCATCAGAGCTGTGCTCCCATCCTGCAAAGTATCCGGTGCTATGAATGACGTCCCCACGCTGTGCTCCCGCCCTCCCCGGGGCACACCTGGTTGGAGACTCACGCGATCTGTGAGTGAGATGTCACAGCTGGGTACGGCCAGCAGCAGCCCTGCAATCTCCTTGTGGCCGTGCTCACAGGCGCACATGAGGGCCGTGGAGCCATCATCATCTTGCACGTTGATGTCCGCCTCACAGGCCAGCAGGGCTTTGACAACGTCCACCCGCCCGTGGCTGACTGCCAGCATCAGGGCCGTCTGTCCTGCCTGGGGAGGGCAAGGAACAGGATTATGGCTCATGCAGGTCCCAGAGCAGGACACCCCCTGCTCTAGAACCTGCTGTAGCTCCCACATACTCTGATGGTGAAATGTACCTTCAACTCGTTCCTCTCCCCCTGAATCTCAAACAACCCTCCCACCACCAGGGGAGTAATCAATCCATAGAGACAGAAAGCAGATGAGTGGTTGCCAGAGGCTGGGAGAAGTGGGGACAGAGGAAGTGAGGATGGATACAGGTTTCCTTGGGGGTGAAGAGAACGTTCTGGAACTAGATGGAGGTATTGGTTACACAACAGGGTGAATGTATTGCACGCCAGTAGGGCTTTTGGTTTTCTTTTGCTTTATTTTAGAGACAGGGTCTTGCTCTTTTGCCCAGGTTGGCGTGCAGAGGCACGACTGCAGCTTGCTACAGCCTCGACCTCCCCAGGCTCAGGTGATCCTCCCACCTCAGCCTCCCGAGTAGCTGAGACTGTTGGCATGCACCACAATGCCTGGCTAATTTTTGTATTTTTTGTATAGATAGGGTTTTGCCATGTTGCCCAGCCTAACTGTTTACTTTAAAAGGGTTATTTTTTTTTTTGGAGACAGTCTCGCTCTGTCGCCAGGCTGGAGTGCAGTGGCGCAATCTCGGCTCACTGCAACCTCTGCCTCCTGGGTTCAAGCAACTCTCCTGCCTCAGCCTCCTGAGTAGCTGAGATGATAGGCGTGTGCCACTACGCCCACCTAATTTTTATATTTTTAGTAGAGATGGAGTTTCACCATGTTGGCCAGGATGGTCTCGATCTCTTCACCTCGTGATCCACCAGCCTCGGCCTCCCAAAGTGCCGGGATTACAGGCGTGAGCCACTGTGCCCAGCCTAAAAGGGTTAATTCTGGGCACTGTGGCTTACGCCTGTAATCCTGGCACTTTGGGAGGCCGAGGTGGGAGGACTGCTTGACACCAGGAGTTAGAGATCAGCCTGGGCAACATAGCGAGACCATATCTCTAGCAAAAAAAAAAAAAAATACAGCCTGGGCAACTTAGTGAAACCCCATCTCTTAAAAAAAAAAAAAAAAATTAGCCGGGCATGGTGCCACATGCATGCTTGTAGTCCCAGCTACTTGGTGGCCTGAGGTGGGAGGACTGTTTGATCATGAGAGGTCAAGGCTGCAGCGAGCTGTGATTGTACCACTGCACTCCACCCTGGGTGACAAAGTGAGACCTTGTCTCAAAAAATAAAAAATAGAGATAAAATAAAATAAAAAATTAGAAATAAAGGAGTAAATCTCATGTTTTGTGAATTTCACCTTCTTTTTTTTTTAATAGAGAGGAGGTCTGTGTGTGTGGGGGGGCGTCTCTAGGTTCCTCAGGCTGGTCTCGAACTCCTGACCTCAAGCAATTCTCCCGCTTTGTTTTCCCAAAGTGCTGGGGTTACAGGCATGAGCCACCTTGGTGAGCCTCACCTTAATTTTTTTTTTTTTTTTTTTGAGATGGAGTCTCGCTCTGTCACCCAGGCTGGAGTGCAGTGGCGTGATCTTGGCTCACTGCAACCTCCGCCTCCCGGTTCAAGCGATTCTCCTGCCTTCAGTAGCTGGGATTACAGGTGCATGGCACCACGCCCAGCTAATTTTTGTATTTTTTTTTTTTTTTTTTTGAGACGGAGTCTCGCTCTGTCGCCCAGGCTGGAGTGCAGTGGCGCAATCTCGGCTCACTGCAAGCTCCGCCTTCCGGGTTCACGCCATTCTCCTGCCTCAGCCTCCCGAGTAGCTGGGACTACAGGCGCCCGCCACTGCGCCCGGCTAATTTTTTTCTATTTTTTAGTAGAGATGGGGTTTCACCATGGTCTCGATCTCCTGACCTTGTGATCCGCCCGCCTCGGCCTCCCAAAGTGCTGGGATTACAGGCGTGAGCCACCGCGCCCGGCCGTATTTTTTTTTTTAGTAGAGATGGGGTTTCATCATGTTGGTCAGACTGGTCTTGAACTACTGACCTCGTGATCCGCCTACCTCGGCCTCCCAAAGCACTGGGATTACAGGCGTAAGCCACCGCGCCTGGCCAATTTTTTTTTTTTTTGAGACAGAGTCTCACTCTGTAGCCCAGGCTGGAGTACAGTGGTGCCATCTCAGCTTACTGCAACTTCTACCTCCCAGGTTCAAGCGATTCTCCTGCCTCAGGCTCCCGAGTAGCTGGGATTACAGGCAGGTGCCACCATGCCCAGCTAATTGTTTTATTTTTTAATAAAGACAGGGTTTCACTATGTTGGTCAGGCTGGTCTTGAACTCCTAACCTCAGGTGATCCACCCACCTTGGTCTCCCACAGTGCTAGGATTACAGGCATGAGCCATGGCGCCCGGCCTTAATTTTTTGAAAATGAAGCCACTAAAAAAATCTCTTGGAAATTAAAACAAAATTAAATCAATAAAGGTAAAGCAGGGTTATGCCTGTTATGGCCTGTCACAGCTCTCTGTTTTGTTCCTTTGTTATCTTCAGGCTGTTGGCAATCCCTCTCCTCCTCACTGTCCCCAGTGGGTCCTGGCTTCCCTGCTCTTTTGCCCACACACCTGTCCATAAGCCCCAGTCACCTCCATAGTACCTGTTTCTGCTTCCCAACACACAGCCAAAGGGAGCGCTCAGACCAGGAGTCAGGCCACGCCGCTTCTGCTTAAACTCCCCTGGTGGTTTCCTGCAGCCCTGAGTCCAAACTGTCTCAAGTCCCGGTGCTCCCTGAAATGCTTATGGCTTGAAGCACGGGCTAGTGAGCTTCAGGAGACCATGCCTGCTTGTTCACTATTTGAATCCCCAGTGTCCAGCCCAGGGAACCCAGCTGCTGCTCAGTGAACTGTCCAGCAGGATGTGGGACGGGGTCATATTAAGAAAGGTAAGGACCCCCATATCCTCCACTCCTTCCAGTTTCCACAAGAAGGTCCTGTGTCAGAGACAGCCTGGCCATGAAGAGCAGGGCTCTGGAGCTAGACCACCTGGGTGTGGGCCTGTCACTCAGCCGGGATGTCATAAAGTAGGAAGAACAGCCTGGTTCTGCAGCAGCAGGGGGCCCCATACCTGGCTGGCTTTGGCATTGATGTCGCCGAGCCGGAAGAGCTGAAGGACAGTCTCGATGTCGTGCTGGGTCTTCAGGGTGGCCAGGGCGGTGAGCATAATAGGGCTGTAGCCAGCACGGTTCTGTTTGTCCACCTTGCAGACACCTAAGAGGGGTGGTGTGAACCCTCAGACCAGGAATCTCTGCTAGTGGACTGCCCCAAGCAACGTGGGTATCACGTCTCCTCCATCAGTCTAGGCATGCCCTAATCCCTCCCTTTTCTCAGAGGACCCCACTCTACCCCACAGGCCTCCATCTCCATTGGGTCACCCCATTACACCAGGGGCTCCTAAAGTTGGAGACAGTCCCTCCTCCATCAGATTTGGGGCCCCTGATGCTGGCATCTATATTTAGGCCTGAGAATAGGAACTGGGTCTCCCCTGTTAATTTTGGAACAGCCATTTACCCTCAGACTGGCCCATGTCTCCCCCATCAGATTGTGGGCCCTGAGCCCTTCATCAGCCTGGGAGGCTGTCTCCCCCAGTCGAATAGGGAAGGGCAAGTTTCTTCCTGCCGAACTGAGGGCCACATCTTCTTTCTTTTCTTTTTTTTTTTTGAGACGGAGTCTCGCTCTGTCACCCAGGCTGGAGTGCAGTGGCCGGATCTCAGCTCACTGCAAGCTCTGCCTCCCGGGTTTACGCCATTCTCCTGCCTCAGCCTCCCGAGTAGCTGGGACTACAGGCGCCCGCCACCTCGCCCGGCTAGTTTTTTGTATTTTTTAGTAGAGACAGGGTTTCACCGTGTTAGCCAGGATGGTCTCGATCTCCTGACCTCGTGATCCGCCCGTCTCGGCCTCCCAAAGTGCTGGGATTACGGGCTTGAGCCACCGCGCCCGGCCAACATATCTTCTTTCTAAGTCCGAGACTTGAGGACGCATCCTTCTCTTAGACCAGGGCTCCAGAGATGTCACCTCCATCATGCAGGCGTGTTTGGGGATGCTGGAGGGCCACACGTTTTCCCTAACATCATTTCTGCCTTTTCCATTACGCTGGCTAAAGGTAGGACCCGTGCCTCCCATCAGACTGGGAAGGCAGTATCTCCTCCATCAGACTGGGAGGGCAGCATCTCCCGCATAAGACTAGGAGGGTGGAGACTAGGAGGGTGGAGTCTCTGCTATCAGACTAGGAGAGTCATGTCTCCCTCGTCAGACTGGGAAGGTGCCTCACTCATTAGACTAGGAGGGCAGTGTCTCCACCATTAGACTGGGAAGGCAGCCTCTCCTCTATCAGACTGGGAGGGCCACATTCCCCCCACAATGAGCTGGGAAGGTGTCTCCTCCATTAAACTAGGAAGGTGGTGTCTCTTCCATTAGTCTGGGAGGGTGGTGTCCCCCCCATCAGACTGGAAGGGTGGCATCTCCCACATCAAACTGGGAAAGTCACATTTCCCCCATCAGACTGAGAAGGCAGCATCTCCTCCATCAGACTGGGAGGGGCACATCCCCGCCACAGTGAACTGGGAAGGTGTCTCCTTCATTAGACTGGGCAGGTGGTGTCTCCTCCATTAGCCTGGGAAGGTGGTGTCCCCCCCATCAGACTGGAAAGGTGGCATCTCCTCCATCAGACTGGGAGTGCCACATACCCCCACCATTGAACTGGGAAGGTGCTGCCTCCTCTATCAAACTGGAAGGCTGGTGTCCCTCCACATCTGAGTGGAAGGTGGACTGGGAGAGAGGTGTTCCCTCTATTATACTGAGAAGGCCGCGACTCCTCCATCATCTTCCCCATCAGACGGGGAGGGCAGCGTCTTCCCTATCAGACTGGGCATGGCGGACAGCCGGCTGCTTTAGAGTCGCCTTGTCCTCCCCGCTGGGCTCACCGCTGTCGAGCAGCTGCTGCACCACGGGGAAGTTGGCGTGAGACACGGAGTAGTGCAGCGCCGTGTTGCCGTTGCTGTCGGCGATGTTGACCACGTAGTCCAGCAGCCGCGCAGACATGGCCCGGAACGTGACCAGGTGCCGCCGCACCAGCTCGGGGTGTGCGTCGCTGCGGCAGGCCAGGCGCAGCCACTCCTGCAGCACTGTGGTGTACGCCACTTTCTGCAGGCGAGTCAGGTGGGAGAGGACATGAGGGTGGGGGAGGCCCACTGGGACACCCCCAACCCCAGACGGGCCCCCCTGGAGCAAAGCGTGGTGCCCTTGTCCTGGAAAAGGATCTCAAGGGAAGTGCAAGCGCTCCCAGAGGGAAGTATAGACATCTCTGTCCCAATAAGACCCTTGGAGTGGGGTGTGGACTTTGCAATCCCCAACATGTTCCCCGAGGAAGCTGTGAGCACCTCCACCCTGGATATAATTACTCTGTCTCTCTCTCTCTCTGTTTTTTTTTTGTGAGACAGAGTCTCGTTCTGTTGCCTAGGCTGGAGTGCAGTGACATGATCAGGACTCACCGCAGCCTCAACCTCCTAGGCTCAAGCCATCCTCTCGTCTCCGCCTCCCAAGTACCTGGGACCACAGACATGCACCACTATGCCCGGCTAATTTTTAAAAGAATCTGTAGAGGCTGAGTGCAGTGGTTCACGCCTGTAATCCCAGCACTTTGGGAGGCTAAGGCAGGCGGATCACTTGAGGTCATAAGTTCAAGACCACCCTGCCCAACATGGTGAAACCCCGTCTCTACTCAAAATATGAGAAAATTAACCAGACGTGGAGGCACACTCCTGTAGTCCCAGCTACTTGGGAGGCTGAAGCAGGAGAATTGCTTGAACCTGGGAGGCGGAGGTTGCAGTGAGCCGAGATTGCGCCACTGCACTCCAGCCTGGGTGACAGAGCAAGACTCCATCTCAGATAAATAAATAAATAAATAATAAAATAAAATTTAAAAAAGAATTTGTTTATAGAAATGGGGTCTCACTATGTTGCCCAGGCTGGTCTTGAACTCCTGGCCTCAAGTGATCCTCTTGCCTTGGCCTCCCAAAGCAACAGGATGACAGGCATGAGCCACCACGCCCGGCCCTGGTTATAATCTCCAAAGTCAAGTGTAGGTACCCCAAAAGGGAAATCTGGATGCCCTGCCCCTGAAGCCCCCAGGAAGAACAGCAATCTAAGGCCAGGCTTGGCCAGTGAGTGTTCATCCTCCCCATCTCCCTAGCCTCTCTCCGAGGCCCATTACTTGAGCACCACCCACCCCCAAGCTCTGGGCTTGGGTCTCAGGGTCCCCACTAGGCAGAAGCAGGGTCACTGAGGAAGAGAAGAGGCCACGGGTGGGGTGGAGGTAGGAGTGCGGGTGGGGATCGTACCAGCTCCCGCTCCGTGAGAGCGTTGGGATTGTCCAGGTACTTTTCCAGGGCCAAGCAGGCTGAGATGAGGTCAGGGCTTAGCTCCATCCTGCCAGGAACAGACAAAGCAGGGGACTAAGGAAGCCCCCAGCCCCCTGCATTCTCCCCCAAAATCCTCACATCCCGCTGTGGTGCCTGGGAAGGGACTTGACATTCTGTACCACGTCACTCACACTAGGGTCACCGGAATGGTGGCATCTCAGACCCTCCTTCACCCAGGACACACATTTACATTGCACCCCAAGGGGCAGATGTGGGGAACACGCAGACCCCCAAGGGAGAGTGGACACCAAGCCAAAGTTTATTCCAAATGCCCATTGGCAGATGGAAAATATTTCCCAAGGGCAAATTTTTTCACCAGGGGAATGAAAAAGAGACATAAATAGAACAGGCAGGTAGAGGAAACGTCCCAAAGTAGGTGGGTGACTTCAGGATAAACTTTGGCTGGCTAGCCGGGCGCGGTGGCTCAAGCCTGTAATCCCAGCACTTTGGGAAGCTGAGACGGGCGGATCACGAGGTCAGGAGATCAAGACCATCCTGGCTAACACAGTGAAACCCCGTCTCTACTAAAAAATACAAAAAACTAGCCGGGCGAGGTGGCGGGCGCCTGTACTCCCAGCTACTTGGGAGGCTGAGGCAGGAGAATGGCGTGAACCCGGGAAGCGGAGCTTGCGGTGAGCTGAGATCCGGCCACTGCACTCCAGCCTGGGTGACAGAGCCAGACTCCGTCTCAAAAAAAAAACAAAAAACAAAAAACAACAAAAAAAAACAACAAAAAAAAACAACAAAAAAACTTTGGCTGGCCGCCCAAATCCTAACCCCGGCAGCCCAAAATACTTCCACCAGGCCCTTTAGCAAAGCCTCCAGAACTTCAGATGCCCAGAAGGGGCAAGTGCTTGTTTGCTAATTCAGACTAAAGTATGCATGACTGATAGGAAGGTTCTTCGAAGGGCTTGAATGGTGGGGTTTGAGGCAGAGGTCATCCACCCCCCGGTCCTGCCTGAATCCCTCCCACACAGAAAACGGACCTGATCTCCTCCTCCGTGTTTGATCCTGATGCCCCCTCAGCAGTGGGTATGTGCTGAGATTCTCGAGATAGCTGACATTCCTGCCGGCTAGTCTTGGCCACGGCCGTCCCAGCAGGCCTGAGCTGGGGGGCTTCGGCCACACTCGGAACCCTCTCCCTTGGCTCTGGGGCCTCGTTCTCTGTGCTGTCGTTGTCTGAGATGTTCTCTGCCGTGCTGGAGTCCTCCGATGATGACTCATACCTGGGGAGGTACAAGCGGGGCAGGGGAGATGCTGCAGACGGGATGAGAAATGGTGGGAAAGGAAGGCAGGAATCGGGTGACCTGACCTCTGTGGGCCTCAGCTTCCCCATCTGTTCAATGGCAGTGTTGACATTCCAGGGCTGTGCCATGTGATTTACAGCAACTGGTATACAGTAAGCGCTCAATAAACATTAGCAGTGATTGTGATCATGCTTGGGGGGAGGGGCACTGCTTTTCACCTGCTGCCCTTTGACACTTCTAGCATACCCACCCTCTTTTTTTTTTGAGACAGAGTCTTGCTCTGTTGCCCAGGCTGGAGTGCAGTGGCGCTTACTGCAACCTCCACCTCCTGGGTTCAAGCAATTCTCCTGCCTCAGCCTCCTGGGTAGCTGGGATTACAGGCGCCTGCCATCACGCATGGCTAATTTTTGTACTTTTTTTTTTTTTTTTTTTTGAGACAGAGTCTCGCTCTGTCACCCAGGCTGGAGTGCAGTGGCCGGATCTCAGCTCACTGCAAGCTCCGCCTCCCGGGTTCCCGTCATTCTCCTGCCTCAGCCTCCCGAGTAGCTGGGACTACAGGGCCCGCCACCTCGCCCAGCTAGTTTTTTGTATTTTTTAGTAGAGACGGGGTTTCACCGTGTTAGCCAGGATGGTCTCGATCTCCTGACCTTGTGATCCGCCCGCCTCGGCCTCCCAAAGTGCTGGGATTACAGGCTTGAGCCACCGCGCCCGGCCATTTTTGTACTTTTAGTAGAGACAGAGTTTCACTATTTGGCCAGCCTGGTCTCAAACTCCTGAATGCAAGTGATCTGCCCACCTCGGCCTCCCAAAGTGTTGGGATTACAGGTGTGAGCCACTGGGCCCAGCCATATCCCCAGCCTTTTTAAGATAGGGTCTGACTTTTGTCCAGGTTGGACTGTAGTGGTGTGATCTTGGCTCACTGAAACCTCTGCCTCCTGGGTTCAAGCGATTTTTCTGCCTGAGCCTCCCAAATAGCTGGGACTACAGGTTCGCACCACTGTGCTCAGCTAATTTCTGTATTCTTTTAGTAGAGACAGGGTTTCACCATGTTGGCCAGGCTGATTTCGAACTCCTGAGCTCAGGCGATCCACCTGCCTCAGCATCCCAAAATGCTGGGATTAAAGGTGTGAGCCGTTGCGCACAGCCGCCTCTAGCCTTTTTTTTTTTTGGAGACGGAGTCTCGCTCGCTCTGCCGCCCAGGCTGGAGTGCAATGGTGCAATCTCGGTTCACTGCAACCTCTGTCTCCTGGGTTCAAGCGATTCTCCTGCCTCAGCCTCCCAAGTAGCTGAGACTATAGGCACCCACCACACCCAGCTATTTTTTGTATTTTTAACAGAGATGGAATTTCACCATGTTGACCAGGCTGGTCTCAAACTCCTGAACTCAAGTGATCCACACGCCTTAGCTTCCCAAAGTGCTGGGATGACAGATGTGAGCCACTGTGCCCGGTCACTTCTAACCCTATTGAACACAGGTGATTCAGACCTCCTGTTCCACTGCAAATAGGGCTGTCTCGTGTTTCTTGCTGGCTCTGGGCAAAACCTAATCAAGCTTCTAGGCTCGGCATTCAAGGCCCCAAACCAACCATCACTCCCTGAGCCTCCCACTTCTCGTGTCACTCCGCTTTCCTGCCTCTGAGCCTTTACCCACGCTATGCCCCTGCCAGGAGAGCCCTCCCCACGCCCTCTCTTCGCCTTGCTAGCTCCTACTTCTCCCGAAGCAGCTGCGTCTCCTCCTTCTGGGACTCCCCTAAGGCCACCTGTGTCTTTCCTGAGGCCCGGTACCACCTGAGTGTTCCCCATCATGGCTCCAACCACCCATCGGTGCCCAGCTCCCCACTGGACCAGGAGCTCTATGAGGGCAGGAAGCGGAGTCCGGCACCTTCTGTGGGGTAGAGCTGTGCAGTGGTTACACCTTGAGTTCTTGAGCCAGGGCACCTGGGGCTGACTCCTGGGTCACAGTGAGCTCCAGCAACGCGCTCAGCCTCCCCGTGCCTCAGTTTCCTCATCTCTGTATTGTGGTTTGATTAAACGAATTAACCAAAGCAAGGGGTTTGGAATGAGGAAATTAGGAAGCTCTCGTGCATGGATGAATGGAGGAGGGGCAGGAAGTGTGGGGTAAGGGGGAGTCTTCTCCTCTCACCCGCCGTTGACCCCCACGAACTGGAGGCTCCTCCGGTGGGCCGTGGGGTCTGCAACCCCCTCTTTCCGTTTCATGATAGATCGCACGCCTGCTGGGGGTCCGCCTGGAGGGGAGAACAGAGGAGGTGTTGTGAGACTCTTCAGGGCCAGACTCCGAGACGGTGCCATCTGGGTGCCCCGTCCCTCTTGGCGGCCACCCACCACTTACCGGCGCCCCCGGCCTCCTGGGTCTCTCGGGAGGCTGCTTCCTTGGTGGGCTCCCTGTGGGTGGTGTCCTGGGCAGGCTCTCGGCCTGTGGTCTTCTCAGGCTGTGTAAGGGAGGCTACCTTGGACCCCGGGGGTGACGAGGACGATTCGGCAGGAACTTGTGGAAGGCCTGGAGGGACAGGAAATGAGGTGTCTGCTCTTGGTCATAAAAGCCAAACCACCACAGTCTGATAGCTCCTGCCCTGCGGGTCATACACCCTGGGCCAGGAGCTGCAGCAGGGCTGATTTTTGTGTTACCACATCCAGTCTTCCTTGCCCTCGAAGGGAAGTCGGATTATTATAGATGAGGAAACTGAGGCGCAGAGCTGCCAAGATCACCCCTTAAGCAGGTGGCAGAATGCAGTTCCAACCTGTTTGGTGCCTGCCCAGCAGCTAGTCAGGGACAAGTGACAACCCTGTGGTCCTATATCCCTGGCTCGAGCCTGAGTGATCTCTAAAAATAAGGTTCGGCCAGGCACAGTGGCTCACGCCTGTAATCCCAGCACTTTGGGAGGCCAAGGCAGGCGGATCACCTGAGATCAGAAGTTAGAGACCAACCTGGCTAACATGGTGAAACCCTGTCTCTACTTTAGCCGGGCGTGGTGGTGCACGCCTGTCATTCTAGCTACTCAGGAGGCTGAAGAAGAATTGCTTGAACCTGGGAGGCGGAGGTTGCAGTGAGCAGAGATCATGCCATTGCACTCCAGCCTGGGCAACACAGCAAGACCCTGCCTCTTAAAAAAAACAAAAATAAAAATAAATCAGATAAAAACACGTCTTTGCTGCCGGGCACAGTGGCTCACGCCTATAATCCCAGCACCCTGGGAGGCTGAGGCGGGCAGATCACAAGGTCAGGAGTTCAAGACCAGCCTGGCCAACATGGTGAAACCCCATCTCTACTAAAAATACAAAAAATAGCTGGGCATGATGGGGTGGGGATAACTGTAATCCCAGCTACTAGGGAGGCTGAGGCAGGAGAATTGCTTGAACCAGGGAGGCGGAGGTTGCAGTGAGCCGAGATCACACCACTGCACTCCAGCCTGGGTGACAGAGCAAGACTTTGTCTTGAAAATAAAAAAATAAAAATAAAAATAAAACACATCCTGACTAAAAAAATGAAACGAAACAAAAGACAACAAAAAACACCCACCCAGGTTGGTCTGAGGACAAAGGTGACTTCCTGGACGCTGAGGTCCTGGACTGCCCGCCAACAGCGTGGAATAAAAGTCCAATTTCCTTTTTGTGTAGCCACCAATGTCTTGGAATCCACTCAGGTCCCCCCAGGCTGCTTTTTAAGACAGGGTTTCACTCCCTTCACCCAAGCTTGAATGCAGTGATGCGATCTCGGCTCACTGTAACCTGTGCCTCCGGAGTTCAAGTGATTCTCCTGCCTCAGCCCCCGAGTGGCAGGCAGTAAAGACACATGCCACTGTGTCTGGCTTATTTTCTGTAATTTTTGTAGAGATGGGGTTTCACTGTGTTGCCCAGGCTGGTCTTGAACTCCTGAGCTCAAGTGATCTGCCTTCCAAAGTGCTGGGATTACAGGCTGAGCAGCATCGCCCAGCCCATGCGTGCCTTCTGTGTCAGCATTTCCTCGGGGCTTCCCCTTCCTGTCCCCCGGGGCGCCAACTCTGAAGACCAATTAATCTGAATTCCCTTTAATGGATAAAAAGGTTGTTGGTTTTTTGTTTTTTTTTCTTTGTGACAGGGTCTTGTTATATTATCCAGGCTGCTCCTGAACTCCGAGCTCAAGGGATCCTCCCACCTCAGCCTCTTGCATAGCTGGGATTATAAGCGTTAGCCACTATGCCCAGCCTTAAATTTGTTTTGCCATATACAGTGACTTCATGAGGCCCACAGGCAACATTCAACTTTAGTACAAAACGGTGACCAAATGCTGGACACGGGCAAAGAGTAACATAGACAGGGCTGGTTGCATGAGACACTTGGTCATCAGCACGGCCAACAGCATCCCCAGACCAGGGTGTGGCCAGCTCAGACCACAGAAAACATAAAAACCATGCCAGAGCCAGGGCTTGAACTCATGAGTGGGGAACCGAGCAAGAGCAAACGCCAGTTGCTATGTCAGTCTCTTGATTTTTCTTTTTAAACTTGGCAATAAATTCACATGAAATAAACAAACATACTGCGTGGCCAGGAGACGGATTCACAATATCAGTCTCTACCCGAAGTGCAGGGCGCCTAACTTGAAATCCTGGGAGAGGCCGGGCGCGGTAGCTCACGCTTGTAATCCCAGCACTTTGGGAGGCTGAGGTGGGTGGATCACTTGAAGTCAGGAGTTAAGAGACCAGCGTGGCCAACATGGCAAAACCCCATCTCTACTAAAAATACAAAAATTAGCTGGGCATGGTGGTGGACATTTGTAATCCCAGCTACTTGGGAGGCTGAGGCAGGAGAATCGCTTGAACCTGGGAGGCGGAGGTTGCAGTGAGCCGAGATCATGCCACTGTACTCCAGCCTGGGGGATAGAGCGGGACTCTGTCTCCAAAAAAAAAAAAAAAATCCTGGGAGAGCCAAAAAATGAGGTGGAGCAATGTTATGCTAAGTGAAAGAAGCCAGATGCAAAAGGGACAAAAACATTGCATGATTCCATTCACAGAAGGTCCCTAGAGTTGCCAAGATTTATTATTATTATTATTATTATTATTTGATAGTCTTGCTCCATTGTCCAGGCTGGACTGCAGTGGCACAATCTCGGTTCATTACAACCTCTGCCTCCTGGGTTCAAGTGATTCTCCTGCCTCAGCCTCCTGAATAGTTGGGACTACAGGTGCCCATCACCATGCCTGGCTGATTTTTGTGTTTTTACTAGAGACAGTGTTTCACCATGTTGGCCAGGGTGATCTCGAACTCCTGACCTCAAGTGATCCATCTGCCTCAGACTCTAAAAGTGGTGGGGTTACAGGTGTGAACCACTGCGCCTGGCCCTAGAGTTGTCAGATTTAAACAGACAGAAAATAGAACGGTGGCTGCCAGGGGCTGGGGGAAGGAGAATGGGAGTGAGTGTTTAATGGGGACAGAGAGTTTCAGTTTGGAAAGATAAGAAAGTTCTAAAGATAGATGGTGGTGATGGTTGTGCAACAGTGTGAATGGGCTGGACATGGTGGTTCACACCTATAATCCCAGGACTTTGGGAGGCTGAGGGGGGAGGATCACTTGAGCCCAGGAGTGTGAGACCAGTTTGGGCAACGTAGGGAGATCCTGTCCCTAACAAACACAAGAAAAATCACACACAAACAAACGATGCAAATGTACTTAATGCCATTGAATTATACACTCAAAAATGGATAAGACGGTTAAATTTTTTTTTTTTTTTGGACAGAGTCTTGCTTTGTCGTCCAGGCTGGAGTGCAGTGATGCAATCTCGACTCACTGCAACCCCTGCCTCCCGGATTCAAGCAATTCTTCTGCCTCGGCCTCATGAGTAGCTGGGATTACAGGCGTGTGCCACCACGCCCAGCTAATTTGTATTTTTAGTAGAGACGGGGTTTCGCCACGTTGGCCAGGTTGGTCTCGAACTCCTGACCTTAAATGATCCGCCCGCCTCAGCCTCCCAAAGTGCTGGGATTACAGGCGTCAGCCACCACGCCCGGCCAGATGGTAAATTTTATGTTTTATCTATGTTACCACAATATTTTAAATGGTGAAAAAATTGGAGAGGCTGAGGCAGGAGGATTGCTTGAGGCCAGGAGTTTAAGACCAGCCTGGGCAAGAGAGCAAGACTCTATCTCTACAATTAAAAAATTAGCCAGGTGTGATGGAGTGTGCCTATAGTCCTAACTACTTGGGACTATACTTGGCTGAGATGAGAGCATTGCTTGAGCCCGGGAGTTTGAAGTTACACTGAGCTATGACAGCACGCTGTACTCTAGCCTGGGTGACGGAGTGAGACCCTATGTTTTTTTTTTTTTTTTTTTTTGAGACGGAGTTTTGCTCTCGTTGCCCAGGCTGGAGTGCAATGGCGTGATCTCAGCTCACTGCAACCTCCACCTCCCAGGTTCAAGCGATTCTCCTGCCTCAGCCTTCCCAAGTAGCTGGGATTATGGGCATGTGCCACCAAGCCCGGCTAATTTTGTATTTTTAGTAGAGATGGGGTTTCTCCATGTGGGTCAGGCTGGTCTCAAACTCCTGACCTCAGGTGATCCACCCACCTCAGCCTCCCAAAGTGCTGGGATTACAGGCGTGAGCCACTGCGCCCAGCCTAGACCCTATATTTTTTGGGTTTTTTTTTGTTTTTTTTTTTGAGACAGTCTCGCTGTGTCGCCCAGGCTGGGGTGCAGTGGCGTGATCTCGGCTCACTGCAAGCTCCGCCTCCTGGGTTCACGCCATTCTCCTGCCTCAGCCTCCGAGTAGCTGGGACTACAGGCGCCCGCCACCACGTCTGGCTAGTTTTTTGTATTTTTAGTAGAGATGGGGTTTCACCATGTTAGCCAGGGATGGTTTCGATCTCCTGACCTCGTGATCCACCCGCCTCGGCCTCCCAAAGTGCTGGGATTACAGGCTTGAGCCACCGCACCCGGCCGACCCTATATTAAAAAAAAAAAAAAAAGCCAGGCGCAGTGGCTCATGACTGTAATTCCAGGACTTTGGGAGGCTGAGGCAGGCAGACCACAAGGTTAGGAGATTGAGAACATCGTGGCTAACATGGTTAAACCCCATCTCTACTAAAAATATAAAAAATTAGCCAGGTGTGGTGGCACGCACCTGTAGTCCCAGGTACTTCGGAGGCTGGGGCAGGAGAATCGCTTGAACCCAGGAGGCAGAGATTGCATTGAGCCGAAATTATGACACTGAACTCCAGCCTGGGTGACAGAGTGAGACTCTGTCTCAAAAAAAAAAAAAGTGAAAAAAATAAAAACAAACAAACTAGAGCAGAACCAAAGCCCATTCTGCCCCAACAGAAAAGTAGGCAGTGACTTCAAAACCTGGGATGGCTCCTTCCAGTCTAAGGAATTCAAGGTTAGACACAGAATGCTAAAATAACAACAACAAGTAATAATAAAATTGATCATACTTCTTATTGTTATCCCACTGGGGAATGGGGCCAACTGATACTAAAATTCACACAAAAGAACTAAAGTCCATTGATGAGCTAAGACAATCCTACAGAAAAAGAGCAAAGATGGAGTCGCT